CCAGTCTGTGATTCTATGATATTTTGGTTAGGAATTATTCCGTCGAGTTAGGTGATATTATGGAAGATTTTCGTACTTACATACAGATAACAACTGAAATTGAATTTCTGTTATGTTTTCTGTGGTGGGGTACAGGGGAAATACCTCTCTGTTTTGAGAAGTGTTCTGTTTTGACAACTAAAATGTATCTGTAGCCACAAACATTGCATCACAGGACTGTGAATGTGTCAGGTATTCCACTTCATTGGGAAAGGGAGGAAAACAATTTTGGAGTACTTATTCAACATCAAACTCTTCTACCATTTCAATCAGTTTCTTACTGGCTTTTTCTTTTTCTTTTTTTTTTTTTTAAGGTGGCCAAGGGTCTGGGCCTCCTCAAAATCAGATGCAAACACCACATGGCCCACCAAATATGATGCAGACCAATCTAATGGGACTTCATGGAAATATGAACAACCAGCAGGCTGGTGCTAGTGGGGTGCCACAAGTTAACATGGGCAGCATACCGGGGCAGCCTCAGCAAGGACCACAGTCTCAGCTTATGGGAATGCATCAGCAAATCGTGTCCTCTCAAGGACAGATGGTAAACATTCAAGCTCAGGGATCGCTGAACCCTCAAAATCAGATGATACTTTCTCGAACTCAGCTCATGCCGCAAGGCCAAATGATGGTGACACCACAGAACCAAAATCTTGGTCCTTCTCCCCAAAGGATGACCCCACCCAAACAGATTATTCCCCAGCAGGGACAACAGATGATGTCTCCTCATAATCAGATGATGGGACCTCAGGGCCAGGTCTTGTTACAGCAAAACTCCATGATGGAACAGATGATGACCACTCAGATGCAAGGAAATAAACAGCCTTTTAATACTCAAAACCAGTCCAATGTTATGACGGGGCCAGCTCAACTGATGAGAGGACCAACCCCAAACATGCAAGGAAACATGGTGCAGTTCACTGGGCAGATGATGGCACAGCAAGGCCCTGTGAATGGTAATCCTTCTCAGGTTATGGGAATTCAAGGACAAGTTTTAAGACCCACTGGACCTGGTCCTCACATATCTCAGCAACTTGGGGATACTACTACTACAACAAATAATGATGTGAACTTGACACAGATGTTACCTGACGTTCCTGTGCAGCAGCCAAACATGGTGCCTTCTCATATGCAAGCAATGCAAGGAAACACCAGTGCTTCAGGGAATCATTTCTCTGGCCATGGGCTGCCTTTCAATACGGGGTTTAGTGGAACACCAAATGGGAATCAGATTTCCTGTGGGCAGAATCCTGTTTTTCCTGTCAATAAAGATGTTACACTCACAAGTCCGCTGTTGGTTAACCTTCTACAGAGTGATATATCAGCAGGACACTTCGGTGTGAACAACAAACAAAATAATCAGAATGCCAACAAGCCTAAGAAGAAGAAGCCTCCACGGAAGAAGAAAAATAATCAACAGCTAGAACAAACAACGTAGGTTTAATATTACATTGTTTTTATAAGGGGCATGGGGAAGCTCCACAGGCAACTTGTCAATATTTTTTCAGCAAGTATGGGGTGAGAAAGAAACTGTATTATTTCATATTCTAGCAATTTCTCTTATGAGTTAAATGATAACCCGCTGGCAAGTCTGCCACTGGAAAGTTTGTTCAAGATGAAAAATAAACTATGCAAACATCCCAGCTCAGTGTTATACACCCATTTATAATAACACCATTCCCTACTTTTCCTGGGTAAAGGAAGTGTAGAATGTGGCATGTGGTACCTCAGCCCTTGGAAGAGAGGTTGCCTTTTTTAAGCAGTCTGACTGGCCACAATCAGAAGTTGGGAAGTACTTTCAGAAGAATTAGAAGCTTTCATATAACGTGCAGTAGAGATTATTGGGGGTTATTTCCTGAATTATATGTATATTCCAACATGTTTCTGCCTGGAATTGAGCTGGACAACTCTTAGCTGAAGCTACAGCTAGAATTTAGAGAGAGGAATGTTACTTTTGAGTTTGAGGATAGCAAGCCCGAGCAGTGCTGGTCCTCCTGGCCTAGGAGACATTAGGAAGGAAAGAAACCCAGAACTCTTGAGAGGGGAGAGGCAAATGGATAATATTGGGAGATGACAAATGAATGTGCCTGTTTAGTGGAAATAGGAGAATACTGACTCTTCATTACTCTTTGGCCATCATATTCTTCATTGGCCAGCTGTCCTGTAACCGTTTGCTGTTGACACTATACTGATACCAGCACAGGGTGGTAGACTACTGCTGCTGTACCATTATTCAGCTTAAGTAGTAACGACAGATATGCTGTATCTCGTTATTCTAATGCTGCAGATAAGCTACAGGGGCATTGAGATGAATCCACCTGATGGAACTTCTGAGGATTGATTCCAGTTTGCTTTAGGGGAAGAAAAGGAAAAACTTTGCACAGAAAATTATAACACAGGAATATCCAAATTTCAAAGTTAAATTCTTAATAAAAAGGTAGCAATGGCACATTAAGCTACTGGTGTGGCTCTGGTTCCACCAGTACCACTTTGAATAATCATTGGAAAGCTTTAACCTGAAGTTTATTACCTTTCCCAGAGACAGCAGTCCAGCTCAGTGCAGAAAGTGGATGGCATTTAAGTACTAAGCGACTGTTCAGTATTTTATTTTTTCCCTTCGTTATTCAGTGCGTAGCCCTAACCTGCATGTTCTGCACAATGTCAAGATTCCTTTGTGAAGATGGAATTAATTTTCTCATGGACATTCTAGTTCTGGACTGAAACGACTCGCATCATCTATAGGAAGTGATCTTTTGTGACAATCATTAATTGGCTTAACTGATAGTAGAATAAAATGCAGGAGTCCTTACGCGCGTTTTACAGGTGCAGAAATGCTGCACAGCAAAGGTAAAGCAAAACATGCTAATAGGCCATGAAAAATACCTTTCACATGCCTTCTGTATAATTGTGTGTGTGGTCATGGTATGGCCACACTTTGCAGCTTAACACTGCTGCAAAACAGGCCATGGGACCTCAGATGAAATCTGAAGGAGTATGCAGTCCACAGCCAGCTCTGAAAACCTGGTTAAAGTACCTCAGCTAGAATCAAGTGGCCAGTGTGTGGATAGACTGCAATTTTGGGGTGTCTTGGAAGCTGTAACTGAGGTAGCAGCAGCTCATCTCTTGCAGTGTGTAACTCACTATGTCTCGTCAGCTTCTGAAATGTGTGGAACAGGCTCCTTCGTGTGCAGGTGGGTGGCTGGGGACAGCCACGATCCATCCTGCAGTGCTGCCCCAAGGGGCAGGGCAGGCCTGTGGGGAAGGCCACAAGTGACGATGTGCTGAGCCTCCTGGCCTTGACAGTCGTTGGCTCCATGGAAGTGAGGTATACGAGGCCGCGTAGGTGTCTTCATTGTGCCATTCCAGGAATTTTAAGTGCAAGTGACTTGGCAAGAGTGCACTGTAACAGTACCTTGCCGTGTGATCCAGTTGTAAAGAGTAGTAGTAGCATAACTGTAGAATGTGCATCTTCCTGCTTGGATGCATCAGATCCTGGGGGGAGCCTCAAATAGATAGCAAACAGATATTTTCCTGCTTGTTGTTCACCTGATATTTAAAGCTATCCAGATGTCTTTCAAACAATAAAAATGTCTTATTTTTCTTTGTATCAAAGACATTCATGTTGCATAGCCACTACCCAACAGCAATTTGCATAATACAGGGTAGGCACTGCTGATAAATTGCAACAAAGTTAAATATGCAAATCTTGTGTCACTGTTAGTCGTCTGCATCTTTCATGGAATGTGGGGGTTTCTTCCCCGAAATCAAAGACAAAAATGGCCTCATATTTCTACGTAGGCAAGAATCTGGTGCTGTGTTTAAAAAAAAAAAATAATTAAAAAAAAGTTTCAGTTCTAAATAGATTCCAATAAAATGATAGTAACCACTACTATAGTGAGCTGTCTTGCTGTGGAAATGACAAAGGATTCAGAAGGAGCAAACGAGTTGGCACTCATCTGAAAAGAAAATCTGTTGATTGTTGAGGAAAAGCCTTGTTAAGATTCTGTTTTCGTTGGTCTTACTGATGATCACCCAGCTTCAGTGGGGCCTGGGAATATCAATAAAAGGACATATAAAGCTCTCTGAGCTTACAAAGCCCCAAAGACTATTTGCTTGTTAAAAAGTTTTCACAATGAAAGAAGCCTAGATTACAGCTCTTCTGTTGAGTTGTGACAATTCAAAAGAATTCCTAGCTCTCAAATAAGGCTTTGAATCTGATTTTGGCATACTTAACAAAGGAAATACCACTTTATGCTTATTGTGTCGTTTATATTTTCAGTGAACGTTCTCTTGCCGTTGGTACCTGCAGAACGCTGTTTTGGCACCTGATACAGATTAGCATTTTGTTTCTTAATGGACAATATATTAGTCACTCTCCTCTGGCACGAGCATTAAGAAGGGAGCTAGGCTTATAGATGACTTTGAGATTATTCTCCAGCAAAAGGAGGGTGACTGCAGTGAGAGGTGGCTGTACTACCTTCCTGCCTAATTCACACTCACTTTCCATACATTGTTAGGCAAGATCAGTATTTTCCTGTCTTGGAATTGCTGATTCTTTTAAATCTGATTTGGATCACTTTCTTTAGCATCAGAATCAAATAGGATGTTTCTCATCTCAGCCTCTTCTCTGTTATTCTTCCTCAGAAATTTTAGAATTCAGAGCAGCAAACCTTGTGTGGAAATGCAGCTGATTTGATAAATGTGGTAAAAATGATTGGGTTTTTCTTAGAAATAATTTCTGAGATGTAATGATATAGTAACAAAAGTACCATTCGTAATATGGTCTGTAGATTGAGCCATATTGGAATGTAAATAGGATAAGTGAGCTATTGAAAGAGTTTATTCAGCCGAGTCTAAAATAGTTTTAAGGGTTTGCTTAATTGAGCAACTCTGTATTGGAATGAGAACCAAGACGTTTTAGAAAAGTAGGTTGTTTAAAACTGGTTGGGTCTTTTCTGAACCTGAAGACTGTAGGTAATGAGATGTAAACTGAGGAAAAATATGTGAGATGAAATGTGATTGTAGATAAAATGTGTTAGCTCTACTAAATGCACACACAAACAGTTGTTAAATGTTCTGTGCACAGACCATGAGCATCACGTGTACTGGTAGAACGGCTGTCACACACTCATTAAAATCACTGCTGGCATTCAGATCTGCCAGCGAACAGTGTGATGTGCAGGTGAACTGCACTGCAGGACACTGAAGATTTTCTCAAACTGATTCAGAGAGCTTTTAACCATAGATCTGGGCTGTGAGTCCCCCTGTCCTGTGGGAAATGAAGCTCATTAAACATTGGAGGACAAGTGCTGCTCTACAAAAATAAAAGTTGGGAAGTTGTTGCAGAGCATTGTACTGTGTTAGCAGCACTGGTTCTGCTTGCATCTGTACTGTAATTTTATTTTTGCACGTTATTTCAGCATCTGCAGCCCTTCTTGGTTTGCTGGTTTGGGTGTTGGGTTTGGTTTTTCTTTCTGGAGTTCTCTCTCCGCTCTGACAAAGGATTTGATACCTGAAGGTTGTGCTTGAGAATGCAGCTGGTGAAGCAAAGGGTTCATGTACAACAATCCATACTGTACCTAATGTGCAGTTAGGGATTTTGGGTTTTCTGGAATGGGAGGTTGTTTGTGGGTTTTTTGGGGTTTTTTTTTGTGGGTTTGGTTTTTTTTTTTTTGGTGGGGTTGGTTTGGTTTTAAATCCAGAGCAATAGGAAAGAACAAAAAATATGGAATATTTGTTCCTCTCACAAACTTCTCATCTTGTTTCTTATTTGTATTCAGAATTTGGGGTTCTTGATGAGTGGTGGTTGCTAAATATGTCCAGGGAAATTTCAGCAATGTTCAGAATTCAGGTAATGTTTACATTTGCCAGCAATTACAGTAGCAGTCTTTCCTACCATAACTGCTCCTCTTTGCTAGCAAACAAAACTCATGTCTCTTGCAAGGTTTGTACATTAGACCCATCTGGCAGGAGATGGTTCCTAAGAATCAGTTTTGCACCACGATTTTCTAAGTTAAACCTGTTTGTTCAGTGATGCTCTAATGCTACACCATTATGAAGAAATCATAAGCAGCAAAATTAGAAACTTAAGGTTGTATTCATAATTTTAGGCAGTTACTCCAATTCCTGTTGCTGGCACCTACATGAAAGGCTGCAGCTTCTCTGAGTGATTTTGCTGCCAGAATTTTTTTTGATTTATGGCTTCTAATACAATGCTTCTGGGGCATGTGTATGCATTTTGCCAATTTTCATCGCATTTATTGGTAGAGGTATGTAAGCCTACAGCAACTCATCACAAAAACTGGTGGTGGGCGGGAATAGACAAAAGTTTTAAGTCCAGATGCTGTCCTTGGCAATACTTGCCTGCTCAGCAGCAGTGCTTGGAACAGTTATTTGTTTGCCACATTTCTTACCTTTTTTCTTTCTTGGTTTATGTTCTCCCCAGTTTTGATGCACGAAAGTTCAGGGACTTTCAAGTTGCGTACTGCATTTTGAATATTGGTTAGGTAGTTAATTGGACAGGCCTGGGTCATGTCAGCTGTACAGATGCCAGAAAATTTTACTCTCGAGTAGAATTAAATAAGATAGATCTATTCACCATTATATACTTCAGATTCTTATTTTGCTGAAAATTTCTTTTGTCCGTAGTATTTCTGCATAATTCTGCCTCTCGTTGTTGGCAGTGGACTTTATTTGATGGCTTTAATTTTAACTCAGAGCTTTTATTACATAGATGTCTCTACAGCCTTCATATATTCATGAAGCAGATAAACAGTTACAGTATTTTACTCTTCATCCCTCTTTATTTTATGTCCTCTGACTGTATGTATTGATAGATGTAGAAACTTGGTTTTTTCTAAGTCTGCAAAAGCTGCCTTCATCAGTGGAAGTATTGGGCATTGAATCTGAACAATTTTAAATTGTCCTAGAGAGTTTCCTGGAGAATCAAGTACCCCTGGAGAAGGACTTTGGGGCACTGGTGGACAAAAAACTGAGCATGAGCCGGCCGTGTGCGCTGGCAGCCCAGAAAGCCAACCGTACCCTGGGCTGTATCCAGAGAAGTGTGGCCAGCAGGTCGAGGGAGGGGATTCTCCCCCTCTACTCTGCTCTGGTGAGACCCCACCTGGAGTGCTGCGTCCAGCTGTGGGGCCCCCACTGTAAGAAGGATATAGACGGGTTGGAGCGAGTCCAGAGGAGGCCATCAAGATGCTTCAGGGGCTGGAGGCCCTCTGCTGTGGGGACAGGCTGAGAAAGTTGGGGTTGCTCAACCTGGAGAAGAGAAGGCTCCAGGGAGACCTTATAGCACGTTCCAGTACCTGGAAGTGCCGACAGGAATGATGAGGAGGAACTTCTTATCAGGGAGTGTAGTGGCAGGACAAGGGTAATGGGTTTAAACTGGAAGAGAGTAGACTTAGATTAAACGTTAGGAAGAAATTCTTCCCGGAGAGGGTGGTGAGGCACTGGGACAGGTTGCCCAGAGAAGCTGTGGATGCCCCATCCCTGGAAGTGTCCAAGGCCAGGCTGGATGAGGCTTGGAGCAACCTGGTCTAGTGGTAGGTGTCCCTGCCCATTGGCAGGGGGGTATTGGAACTTTTGTTTATGCTCTCTCCAGTTTTAAGACAATTAAGATGGTCTTTGCAGTCCCTTCCAACCCAAGCCTTTCTGTGTTTCTGTGATTACTTACCAAGCCCAGTGCAAACAGCCAGATCAGAGGTAAAGCTTCTGAATATCCAGTGTCGGGCATCTGGAAACTTCTTTTGCTGTTGCAGAACCTCTCGCAGAATTGTTACTTAGCAACTACAAAGCCCTTTCAATTAGGAACGAGAATTTAGCATTGCACAGATTAGCCTTATATTTCAGTTTGCTTTAAATATAACAATGGCTTCAGCTCTCTGAAAGCTGGAGGGGAACTTTTTCCAAGGGCAGGGAGTGACAGGACAAGGGGTAATGGGTTTAAACTGAAAGAGGGAAATTGAGATGGGATATCAGGAAGGAATTCTTCCCGTAGAGGGTGGGGAGCACTGGGATGGGTTTGCCAGAGAAGCTGTGGATGCCCCATCCCTGGAAGTGTTCAAGGCCAGGCTGGATGAGGCTTGGAGCAACCTGGTCTAGTGGTAGGTGTCCCTGCCCATTGGCAGAGGGGTATTGGAACTTTTGTTTATGCTCTCACCAGTTTTAAGACAATTAAGATGGTCTTTGCAGTCCCTTCCAACCCAAGCCTTTCTGTGTTTCTGTGATTACTTACAGATCCTCACTATCCCACAAAGGTCTGTGCTCTGTCGAGTGACTTGCAGTGTCTGATACATCAGAGCGTTTTTGCTGTGAGGTCTCTGATACTCTGATCTAGTCACTTCTGGGTATGATACCGGAAGAAGTGGTGCTGCCATTAAACTAAATAAAATAGATAAATAAAAACTAAATAAATGGTGCTACCATTAAAATAAATTTCTGTACATATACCCATGATACTCATCTATACAGATGTCACAGCAGTATCAGAGGGAAGCCTATTTAGTTTAAACTTAATTTAGGTTAGATATTTGTCTAATTTGAAATATCCAGTAGCATCCTCTTAGTTATAAAACTCAGATTCAGGGTAGAAACAAGGAAAATAAATGTTTAAGGTCAATAGAGCGCCAGACAACTTGTTTCTTTTGTGGTAGTATTTAAGGCACAGGAGTGACTGCCAGCAGACCCTGGGCTCTGTGTTCAATTTTGTCATGTTATACCAGAGGTAGTGGTGAATTTTAGTGAATTACTTGCAGGTCTGAAAAAGTGCTAATAATGAATTACTTGAGTACTTTGTCATGGAAGCAGGAGTCAAATACTGATGTGAGGGCTAGATCTTAATTGCAATTATTTTTCTTTCAGCTCTTCAGAACCACGTCCAGCTGGCCTGGAGGAGAGTGATCAGTCATCGATGTCTGGAGAACAAGGAATGAATTTAGATAATTCAGGTCCTAAACTTTCTGATTTTGCAAGTAGGCCACCAGGTAGTAGGATTTTTCTGTGGATTATATGAATGTAGTAACTGTAGGAGAGCTTTTAAATTATCTTTGTGACAGTTCTGTTTTATTTGTGTTATCACACATTGAAGTCCAAAGCTTGCTTTCCTCCTAGAAACTAATTGGTACCATTGTTTAAGTGTTTTCTTTGAATTAGCTCAAAATGAAGAGGTGGCCACATTCTTATGTGTCATCCTGCAGGTATATTATTGAATACTGTAGAGTTATTCACCAGTAACATGACTGATAAAGCAATCTGCAGTTCTAGCTGTAGCATAGACTGATGTCTTTAAAAAATTAGCATTAACCAATAGCTGATTTTTAACTATTAAGAAATAGAGGTTGCAGTTGGAATTATCCTTTGCACATAAGGAGGATTAAATCCAAAGTCCACGAAGGAGTTTATATCATAAGCCACATGGGTGATTCTTAGCACTGTTTTTGGCCAAGTAATACCTGACAGGTTCTACTTTGTACACTAGGAAATGTCAGATGTGTAGCAGGTATGCTAGTCCACGTCCCACAGGGCCTGTTCCACTCTGAAGTTTGCTTTAAAAAGTATTAATTACTGAAAGTCCAGCTCTGCATTTGTAAGTGAAAGCAAGCCTGTAGACAGTTGCAGAGACTTTTCAGGTAGCACGAATCTGGAGTAATAGCTAGTAGCTGGTACAGTACACTGAGAGATCTCCAATTAAATGTCATGCAAATCATTCATATATTAAGCAAAAATATTTTTTTTAAGAATTAAGTAGAATCATTGTGAAGCCCGTTTCAGTAATGTGGATCTCAGATAAGAGAAACAGGCTCATTGGCTATACTTTGTCTGCTGCTCTTTGTTACAGAAATACTGCTTTCTCTGATCTTTGCTTGATTTTAATGGATGTATCATCTTGGCATCTTAGGTTATCCATCTCAGCCAGTGGAACAAAGACCACTTCAGCAGATGCCACCTCAACTTGTGCCGCACACGCAGCAGCCACAGCAGCAGCCACCGCCACCAGCACAGCAAGCCCCGGCCCCGCCACAAACACCCCAGCAGCAGCAGCAGATGATGATGATGCTCATGATGCAGCAGGATCCCAAATCAGTCAGGCTTCCTGTACCACAAGGAGTTCACCCACCTAGAGGACCTCTGAATCCAGACACTCAACGAATGCCAATGCAGCAGAGTGGTAACATGCCTGTAATGGTTAACCTCCAAGGTCCTGGATCAGTGCCTCCATCTCCTGATAAACAACGAATTTCCTTGCCAGGCAATCCTCCTCTGGGAAGTAATCCAAGAAAAATGGTTTATCAAGATAATGTACAGAATCCTTCCAGCTCACCCCTTGGAGAGGTTTCATCTGTATCCTCCCTTCCAGAAGGAGGTGGAGCTGAAGGTCCCCCAGCATCAGGAGCTCAGAATAATTTGACATCTCATTTAGTAGTTTCACAGAACCAATTAATGATGACAGGACCCAAACCTGGACCATCCCCACTTTCAGCTGCCCAAGGTGCAAGTCCCCAGCAGCAATCTAATTCTCTGCCTAGTGCTCTGACACACCATTTTCCAAGTGTTGCCGCCCCCTCACAAACTTCAAGGCCTAAAACCCCAAACAGAGCAAGCCCAAGGCCATACTATCCTCAGACTCCTAATAACCGTCCACCTAGCACAGAACCGTCAGAAATTAGCTTGTCTCCAGAGAGACTCAATGCTTCTATAGCTGGTCTGTTCCCTCCTCAGATTAATATTCCTTTACCTCCCAGGCCTAATCTCAATAGAGGATTTGATCAGCAGGGTCTTAATCCCACTACTTTGAAGGCCATTGGACAAGCCCCATCAAATCTCACAATTAACAATCAGTCTAGTTTTGCTGCTCCACAGTCACACAAATTGGAAGGCGTGGTCATTAATTCAGGAAAACAAACCAGCACTGGAGGAACAAAGAGAGCAAGTCCAAGCAATAGTCGAAGGTCCAGCCCTGGATCCAGTAGGAAAACTACACCAAGCCCTGGCAGACAGAATTCAAAAGCAGCTAAATTATCCATGACAGCTCAGCAGAATCCATCTCTCTTGCAGAACATGGAACTACAAAGAAATATAATGGCTAGTCCCTCTTCTTTGCCAACACCTGTGACTACAAGTTTTCAAAATAATAACATGCTAAGTAATCAGAATCCTGCAATTTTTTTTTTTCCTGAAGACAATAAAGAGAGCGTTAGTGTGCCTCAAGATAACGAGTGTCAAAGTGCACAAGGTGTCCAAGGTAACAAAGACCAGCCCAGTATTGAACTAAAAGGTATCCCTACTCCAGAAATTAAAATGTTGGTTCCAGAAGAACAGTCAAGAAAAGATGGGCAAGCCTTAGAAACCAGTAAGCTTCCAGTCTTGGAGGAAAGTAAAACTGTGGTATCTCCAGCTATGAGGGAGGCGCCAACTTCTTTAAGTCAACTTCTTGATAATTCTGGAGCTCCTAATGTAACCATTAAGCCCCCTGGGCTAACTGGTCTTGAGATGGCACCAGTAGTCACCACTGGAGAGGAGCTAAAGAAGATAGCTGTCATTCCTCCACTGCAAGATTCATCCTGTAGCAAAGAGCCCTCTAATTCACTCACCTTGCCACAAAATAATGAGCCCTGTTCAAATGCAGGGCACCAGGAACTGGGAGAAATAAACGTTGCACAGAGTGTTCCTCCTGTAATGCAAAGGCCTGTCAGCTCTTCTTCTATGTCAGGTCCTTTACCCTCCAACCAGATAACAGTTTTTGTTACTTCAAACCCTATTACATCGTCTGCCAATACATCGGCGCCATTGCCATCTCATTTGCAACCTGCGTTGGTGTCAACTGTTGTCACAATGCCCAGTGTGGGGAACAAAGTTATGGTTTCTGAGGGCCAGTCAGCAGTTCAGTCTAACACCCGGCCACAGTTTATTACACCCGTTTTTATAAACTCATCATCAATAATTCAGGTAATGAAGGGCTCTCAATCCAGTACGCTTCCAGCAGCTCCCATGACTTCTAACTCTAGTCTGATGCCTCAGTCGGTTGCGGTTGTTGGTCCTTTGCATATACCGCAGAATATAAAGTTCTCCTCAGGGCCCACTCCTCCCAGCACATCATCCAGCAGTCCTGTTTCTAGTATTCCCACCAGCCGGCCCCTGGTTCTTAATCCCGTGGCACCTTCTGTTCAACTGCCTTCTCCGTCCACAACTCCTTCCAGCGTTCCTTCCCATCTTCCTGCTCAGCAAGTCAAAGACTTCAGCCCAGAGGAGACTCCTCAGAGTGGTGGGTCGAGTGACCAGTGCTCTGTTACTGCAGCACAGTCTGGACCTGTCGTTTCACCTCTTCTTACGAGTAGCCCAGGATCTGGGAACAGACGCAGTCCTGTCTCATCCAGTAAGGGAAAGGGAAAAGTTGATAAGATTGGCCAACTCTTGCTGACTAAAGCATGCAAGAAAGTCACTGGCTCCCTTGAGAAAGGGGAAGAGCAATATGCTTTGGAGGGAGAAGCAGAAGGTCAGGGACTAGAAACAACAGTCCCAAATACTTTGGGAACAGAGCAGTCACCAGCAGAACTAGATAATAAAACTGTGACACCTCCAGCACCCAGTCTTACAAAACAGAGCACTTCTGGGCCTGGCAGTTCGAGTGTCAGCACTGCGGCCGCTGCCCCTGCCTCCGTGTCTCCCATCATATCAACAGGCACTCCTCCTGCGAGCGTCCCGCCGGTTGTAACCGCTCCCACCCCCCCAGACCTTGCACCTGCAGCCCCGAGCACTAATGGTGGGAGCCACAGCGCTTTGCCAGCTGAGCAAACTGGGCTTGGTGGGGCTGAGGAGAAAGCAGGAGCACATCAGGAACTGCCACAAAGTGCAGGTAAGTCCAGTGCTACCCTGTGTAAATGGGAGAAATGAGGTTGCTTTTGTGAACCTCTGAGGTGCTTTTTTCCATGAACCCAATGAAATTTAAACACTGTAGTCAAGGCTGACAACTGCTTTTTTGTTTCTAATGTTACAGTGATACACAGGCTTGTATTTCACTAAGATTCACCTTTCAGTTGTTTTATTTCAGTTTCCATTTACTGCTTAAAAGGGGTATTTGTCATGAGCATACGATGCAGTAACAGGTGACTTCATATGACTGCTAGAATTGAGGAGAAAAAGTGGATGTATCAGTAATGAAAAAAGTGAGACTTAAGGTGCCTTTTATACTGGTAGATATACCAGTATTCTGCTGCAGTCTTGCCAGAGACTTTTTTTTTTTGGTAACTTACTTCAGTTTATTGATTTAATTATTATATTTTGAGTTAATCCTAATAACACTAGTTCCCTCTTTGAATAACCTTAACCCTCTAGGGAAATAGCTGAATAACCTCATGAAGAAAACAACAACAACAAAACCCACAAAAAATCCCTTTTGTCTAGGGAAAAATTAAAATGCTCATTTCAGAGAAATACGTGAAGAACTGATAAGTGAATCGCACCCAGTTCAAAACCATTAAATAGCTTCACATCTGAGCTGTTCTCTCCTTTACTGTTTTAATTTGAACATCTGACTTTGCTGCTGTTTCTTGATGCCATTTTTAATCGGTTGAAAATGGTGTGGAAGTAAACCTTCACTCTGGAAGTAAGCTGTCGTAATATCCCTTGTGATTTACATCATGAATTTAGACAGAAACATTAAAAGCATGGAAGATAAAATGTACAGAGGTCAGTGGAACTGAGAACTTCAGCCTGAATGTGACTTTCCCTGTGGCTAATAGATGTATGTTGTAGAAAATGGAAATGTTTACTTTGAGCTTCGCAGAAGGAATTCTGGTTTGTTAGGAGAAAAATGGAAGTGAATAGTCTTTATTTAAACAGGAAAATTTAACTTTCTGTCTTCATGTTCTTTTTAAGTTCATTATCACGTACAAGAAGATACTAGAAAGCATTAGCCCAACAAGAATTGTTTTTCCATCTTATTTTTCAACTTGGCAACCTCAGAAATGTTAAGTCACATCATCTTATATCCAGAGGAATTTAAGGGAGCCTCTGGAACATGTTTTGCACTCTTGCAATTGAATTGAAAGAGTGAGGGCATTGATTCATTAACAAAGACGCTCTTTTTCCCAGAACTAATGTTGAAATGAGCATTAAACTGAGAGAGAATTTAGTCTTTAGTTTAGAATTGAGTCTTTAGTTTCTCAGACTTTCTTTAATTTCTCAGTCTGGTGAAAAACTGTTACCTTTAAAAATGTGTTTTATGATACTTAATTTCATCACTTATTCTAGTATAAGAAAAATTGTTTGGGATAGTTTTGTCAGAGTGTTTTTTAAAACTGAGGAGGTGTATGAAGGGGGAAAGTAGAGGGCAGGTTAAAAAAGTTGCATCTGTACATGGAAAAATGCAGTAAGCTGGAAGATACAGCATTTTTTAAAAGCAGCCCGATCACACAACAGAGAATTCTTGTGACTCCCTTTGAAAATAATGCTTTTTCCCTCCACTTTTATTCTAGCATCCTCTCAACATTTAACACAGAAAAAAAGTTCAGTTGCAGCATCAGAAAGTACTGTTCAAAGAACAGGTAAATCTTGCTTTGGAAAAGCAGAATGTAGGTGAACTAAACTCTTTATGTTTGTAAGTGAAAATGCATTTATTTTAATGCATATTTAATGGTCACTAATGTGCTTGGAAGTTTGGGGGCTGGGGGATGCTTTTGGGATTGCCTTTCTTTTAGATACACTGTGCTTGAGAAGTCTCCAGAGCCTTGCTGGAGATTCAGTGCGGGATCAAGTGAAACAAATGCCAGAATCACCAAGGCAGTTTGCAGATACTTGGTCATAAGCTGGAGGGACTGTATTTTTAACGGTACGCTGTGTTGGAGTTGGAAAGTTTTGTTAAGAGCAAATGGGATTTTTTCTTTTATATGGGACACTTCTGAGAATATTTTCAAAAGCCCTGCTGGGAATGTGAAGTTTTAGAATTTTAGTCCTTTTCTGTTCAGCTTTTAATGAACCCTCAGCAGTGTTTCAGGATGGAGCCCTCACAGATGATGTCTTGTTGCCATCTATTATCCTGGTGCTTCAGCATTGATTCTGTGGTGGTTTAAAAAAGTCATTTCCAAGAAGAGTAAGGAAAAGGGCTAGATGTGGGCTTGCGCATGGGGAGTGCCACTCTCCATCCATTTGCCATCTCAAGTGTGGTTAGAAGTAGAGCTGTCAGAAAGTAAAAATTGTACTAAATTGCTTTCCTTGAACTTCCACTTAAACAAAGCCATTCATGCATCCTGTCAAGTTCGATCTGGCTCACTGCCCCGGTGCTGTGTTAGGGAGTTCTTGCTGCAGGGGAAGCACTGGTGTTACTACTATTGGATATTCTCCCTGTTCAAATTTTGAGTAGGAAGAAAAACGACTCTTCCCTTATTTTGTTTAGTCTCTTTTTCTTTTGCTACCAAGACCTCTGTTTTTCCCAGGCACTGCTATATACACTTACACTGAAGAGTCCGATGTCCCAACAACACAGATTGTAAGGGGTATTTACCATAAGGGGCCAGACACTCTGTTTTCTTACTTTTTTGACACCTTTATTCCTTGTGCACACTCCAGCAAACTTTGTGTACTAAATTAATCTTAAAGACGAAGCCACATTTTATGCACCACGGTCCCAAAGATTGTAGGGTGTTTAAGGGTGAGATGGAGTACGCTCTAGCTGATGTGACAGACGAGCAGCGACGTAGTATGTTACACTGTCATGGTAATCCCTAAACCAGTGGCGGTTTCTCACGAGGGGTGCTGTGTTTAGGTATAGATACACCCTCTCAACAAAGGATCTCGTGGATATGGGGAGAATGAAAAGATGGACAGTAAAAAGTTCAGAAATCTTACATGATGCAAAGGAGAGCAAATTGTTTTGGGTGAAGACTCAAAAGGAAACCTGAGCTGTACGTGTAAAACTACTGTGAGAGAAAGATGGCAGGTCAGACTTCTCTTTACATCATCTCCTGAGAGAGGTTTTTTTCCAATTCAGTAGAAGTATAATTGGGCTCCAGAAAATTGTCTTCCTTTGCATTTAGAGGATATTGCTGTGAGAGGTGGTTGTGTTAGGGCAAACTTTTACATACATAATAAATCCAGATCAGTAGTTTTAAGGTTTAAAATTAATAAAACTTAGATGTTTTAGAAGTAATAAACTGTCTAACATGGAAGTTAAAAAAGGGAGAGGACTTGTCAGGAAGTTCCTCTACAGTTTTCTTGGCAGGGTTCCTTTTAACTTCTCTGCCTTTGCAGATGCAGGCCATAATCAGAAAGAGCACTTGGCTGATGTGGTACTTGGTTTGATATGTTAGCTGCTTTGAGAGAAATAACAGATGAGAGAACTTGATTCTTCAAACCTAATACATAATGAGAAAAATGTGAGATAGTCATGCCTTGTCAGTGGGTATGTACTTCTACAGCAGACTTTAAAATTATCTTTTTCTCTTGTAGAACTTGAAACAAATGCTCCAGTAGTTGCTGGTCAAAGGTAAGGAGATAGTTTGTGTAGATTCAGAATAGATATAGCTTTCATGGGAGAAAGTCTCTCTCTCTTCACGTCAATTGCACAACTTCTGCTACTGCTTTTCATTTTCTTGTCCATACCCTCTCTGTCCTGCTAAGAAATCGGGCTGGTTGAGTGTTTCAAAACGTTGCTGAAATGCAGAACATAAGATAACTTTTTCCCAAGTCTGTCTTCATGCTTTGGGCAGTGTTTCCTCTTCTCCCTGAGTGTTTCACGTCCTGGAAGGGTCTTGTTGGTTTCGCTGTTCTGTATTTTCTGAAAACAAATCAAAACTAAAACCCCCAAAGCCTGCAGCTTAGCTGTCATGTGAATTTTTGTTCTCTGAAAGTAAGTCGTTCTTAAGTTTGTTCTTCTTCTGCCTTCGTGACTTCTTCAGATTTCCTCTATGTTTGCTTGTTGACACTTTGCTGAAACCTGATAGAAAAGCCAGGTAGAACTTCATATTGTCCCAATTAAGCCATTCAGTAATTTAATGATGAAATTTCGAATGGCTGTGTTCCGTCAAAAGAAAAGATGGTTTCCAAGATCTGTTTCTGTTTAGAGTGTAAACCCACCAGACTCTTTAAATTCAGTCTAGGCAGCTGCAATAACAGCCCTTCATAACAGTTTTTGGGTAACTGTTGGCACAACTGGCTGGGGTTTTGCTGCTGCCCTCGTCGGGGGAGTGGTCTCCTAGGCCAGGGCAAGAGATGCAGTTCACTCATGTGGTCCATCAGGAGATAAGGCAGTGTCATCTTCTGTGGGGGAGGTAAGGCAATACACTTTCTCCAACCAGGAGTGACTCTGAATTGAATATTTAACTATATTTACTTTCACATGGATTGCCATCTTTCTAGTTGTCTCAAAGACCAGCTGAAATTTCACGACAGACTTTTTTCAGGACAGAATTTTTCTAACAAGCTGAAGATGCGCCACTTGGGAGATGAGCAGATTCTGCAGATGAAGTGTCTTTGCGTCACCATACTCCAGAGTCATTTAGCACATCAAATTACTGCAGATGCATTTCTATTTAGATTTTTCTGGACTGGTGCTTTTCTGAGCAAGACCGGAAAAGAAGGAAAGTTTTCAGGCAAACTGACTTGAGTGCTGTCTGATACAGCAGTCAGCTTTGAGCTCCTGGAGTTAAGTGCCATAAGGTACAGACTTTAGAGGATCCTTGCAACCTACAAAGCACTAGAAGTATTTTCACTTGAGCAAACTTGATTTCCTCCTGTAAAAGGAGAGGAGTGATATGTTGCTTCCTATGAGCCAATCCAAGCTATGGATTAGTCACTAGAGTCTGTAAAATTTCTCTTAACAACTGAGCTTCAGCTGATGGTGCCTGTTTGCTTACCTCCTGGTGTCCTCTGAAGCAGGTGGCTGTTGTTTCAGCTGCCCAGGGTACTTAGCAGAAGACCAGTTTGTGACCTGTTCAGAGGATTCGGTTTATAGATTGTCCATAATACTGACCTACGGGGAAATAGATTTCATTATTTTTTCTGTATCTGAGACAATCCACATGCTTCCATATTCTCTTCTGCTGTGTGTTTCCTTGCTTGAAAATGTTTGTCTCTCCTTTTGTTGACAAACTGTGTTTTATTTCAGTATCTGTTACTTAGAACTACACGTATTAGTAGTAGTTCTTTCGCTCCAAGCAGGAATTCCTCTGAAACAGTGACACTGCAGTGGAACCTCTGTAATGCTTGGGTCTGCTCTGTGTGTTTTCTGTCAGTTCTCTGACTAAAAGGCAGCCTTTTTTTGAAAACTTTCAAGTATCTCCAAAAGGGCATGAAATGAGGCTTTTTTCTCCTTTTCCAATAGTAGCAGAATAATTTATTTGATTACTTACCTTTGAATTCACAGGAGCTAAGTTTAACTTAATCTTCAGAAACCACTTGGTCATCAGAAATTGTCTGGCATTAATGCATTAAGGAGAAAATGCCCAGACCTCAGGATGAGTTTACAGGGTTATGAGTCATAAAATAAAAGAGGACTTTAATTACAAAATGTAGCACTCCATTTATTGTCTCAGTGACAAGAAATACAGATTTCCAAGCTACCTAAAAATACCTTATTTTATAGCAGAAAAAGGTTTCTGTTATAAAAACCAGGTTTTTCACTTCAAGCTTTAAAGCTTGAAGAAAGTTGTAAATAAACCTTAACTTTTTAATATGTAAAGAAATCACTGGCTCAGTGGAGTGAGTCTTTTTAGTAAAAACAAAAGCTGGCATACTCACTGAGGGGTTCGTAATTCCTCCTTATGTTCATCTGCAATTTCAACTCTGTATTCCCGTGTCATAGCAGTCTCTAATGTAACTTGTTTGCTTTTCCTAGACTTCAGTAATGGTGACGCCTGTGGAAAACAGAGCAGACAATTTATAATGCATCTAATTTCTTGGGCTTCTAATGTTGAAAATACTCTCTTTGAGGACTTCTCAATTCTGTATCTTCTGATAATTTTTAATAGAAATGGACTATACTCTGGCTTACTCAGGTCATTCTTCATCTGATAAATCTTCTGGTATCTCTAGCATTTCATATCTTCAGTGCTAATAGTCCGGAACTGGTACCTGTGTCGGTCCATCCTCCAGCTTGTCTGAGTTGCATAGAAATACATAATTCTTCTTACACTTCATCAGAAATATTTTGTCCCACTTTATTAGTAATGAGACAAAAGAGAATTGTGAAAAGTCTAAAACTCCAAATAGAAGAAATTCAAGAACAGAGGATTCTGGCGCTTCACAGGAAACTGTAGAGAATGGACAGCGCAAGAGGTCCTCCAGACCAGCATCTGCGTCCAGCATTGCAAAAGGTAAAATGCACAGGCATCATTTCTCTGGAGAGGGCAGGAAGTAACGTACTTCCTCAAAAAATAACCCTTTCAGTAACTGGCTCTTTACAGCTTGTAAATCTTGTGTGCTTTTAACTCTGGTTTCAATGACTTAGGCACAGGTTGGTGTTGAATTGTTTACCGACATCTGTACTGGCAGTAAACCTCGTATGAATTTCCCGTTGTTAAGTTGGTGGAACTTGTTTTCTGCAGTACTTGTCAACAGTGTGTGCTTCAGGCTTGCCTAGTCGAAGCAGAAACGCATTGCCTTTAGAAGGACTGTACTCCAGTGAAAGTGATACTTTTGTTTTCCCTGAAGCCTGAAAGACACAAGACAAATGCTTAAGTCTCCCCAAGTGCACGGTCAGCCCTTGTGAAGGCAGGTGCTGTGGGTCGGGCACGCTCAGCATGCGGCCGGCATGGCAGCCTGGAGCACTGAGGAGTGCTGTGTGCTCACACGCAGAGCCTCGGCTGTTCTTTCTAGAACGTCTGAAACCCTAAAGTTAGAGGTGCTGACCCACGGCGCCAGCAGGTGCTGACGTGCCTTACTTCTGCACAGGTTACAGTCTTTACCAGAGTACACAGCATTGGTGATACGCGCGAGCGTTACTGGAGTGCACAGCCCACGGTGCCGTTCTGCGTTTCTGAAGCTGTCTCAGCTCCTCGTGTCTAAGGGTCAGAAAAATGGTGATGGATGAAAGTTGTGTGGAAGGGTAGAGACCATCAAGAGGCAGCATTGGGCCAGTATTTTAAAGGTTACATACAGAACAAAGAGGTATTAATACAAAATTATTACAAAAGGAAGTCAAGTTGAATTCAGCAACCATTTTCCATACTGAAGATACCAAAGTTTGTTGGTAAGCATGTTTGCATCGTAAGAGTTTTGAGACTTCCAGCTACACATACTTGTGCAGCGACTCTCAAAAGAGCACATAGAGGGACTTACGTGTTCTGCACTTTTGTGGCTGCTGAATTTAATTATATTTGCTTCTTGTGGCAGGATGTGCAGAAGAATCTAAGTCTGTATTGTGAAAATAAGTTATCTTTCATGATTGTGAAGAGAAGTTTGAAAAATGTGAAGCCAATGTAAAATCAGTTTGGTGATACCTTCCTGAGTGTGAGGGGATCTGAAATGTATGACCTGCCCCACATACTGTAGTGAATAAACCTAAAGATGACAACCAGTGGCATGTCAAATTCTGAAAACGTGGGAACATGGAAGTACATGGAATTCAAATAATACCAGAACTGACTTAGGGGTTTGTACTGTATTATTCATTTCACTCTGTAAGTAAAACCACTGTTTTTAAAATGTGTCTGAAACTACTGCAGTATTTAAGGGTTTTGCTTGAAAACGTAGGCCCAGCTCACTGTGTGGTACCCTGGGCTGTGGTTACCTTATCGCTGTGCAAGCAGCTGCTTCCTTCCAAGTTGGAGAGAAGGGGAGCAAAACCAGATTCTTCTGGAAGAGGACAGGCTGGAGGATCAGTGAGGTGGCTGGAGAGGGGTAACAGGGTTTGGCACTGGTGCCTACTCTGTTCTACATTTTTATGGGTGAATCATAGCTTACAAAAGCACGTTTGTCTGGGTGTTCCTGACCTCCTCCTAGACATCTACAGTTATATTTTCTGTGTCCCGAGGAACTCGCTAGTCCACGTGCAAGGGAATGTGGGGCTGGCAGAGGTTACCTTTTGAGATAGCAGCTGATTGAGGCCATGTTAAAAATGGCAATTAGGAAACACTTAAATATAGCAGGGAGAGGGCAGTAGACTTTGGTCCATTCGTGTTGGAATTCCCTTGCTGAGTGTCGGGAAGGAGGAGGCAGAAGGATAACTAAGAGAAGAGGGCACACTGAAAGTCAGCCTCGTCCCCACGCACCTGGCACGCTGCGGTGCGCAGGTTTGGGATAGAAGCAGGCAAGGGAGATGCTGCTGGCACTCCAGGATGCGGGTGATGCTCAGAGGGCCTGTGACAGGTACCGCACACTGCTGACCACTGGCCCGTTGGTTCTCCCAAACTGGAGACTTCAGCAGCAGCAGGGATGGCTGCAGCCGGGCTGCTGCTGGCCGAGCTCCGTTGGAGCAGCATTGCTACTCAGGGCGGGCTCCGGTGACCGTACGTTGTGCCTGTGACATGTTTCACTTCTGAAAATGGTACTGTGTTGGGATTTTCACTTTTTGGAGTACATTTCCAGCAAGGGCTGTTTCATCATTTACTGTAGATTTGAGTTTGCTAAATTTTGAAATGTTGATTTTTTTTTTTAATTTTTTTTTATTTTTTTTTGGGTGTGTGTGTGTACAACATTTAACCACCATGAGGTTGTGCTGTTGCTTTTCCCAGTTTGGAGGTTTTGGAAATTTTTTTCCCTTTTGCCTCATAAAAATACACACAGCTCTAATAGCTTTTGGAAGATATTGTGAGGAGCCAAGGATACATTGCCAACATTTCACATCATATTAAAAAAAAATCAAAATATGCAAATACCCTTGGTCCTTACTCTTTTTTTTGTTTGAAATGGAAACTTAGTGCCTTGGTAAGTGCACTGAAAATGTCATCTGCTTTCACTGCAGCTTCTGCAGTGCTTCTGGTTGTTCTGCTGCTGTGCTAGGTAGTATTTGGTATCTTTCTGCATGAGCTGTCTTTCTGTGAATCGCAGTGGAACCTACAGAGACTAATGACTTGACTTCTCAAGGCCTTAAGCGACTGCACTTAAACCGGCATGGCAGGCTTCAAAATACCTTCCCAAATTGTTTTCATAACACCATCTCCAAGATGCTTGGGTCTGATTGATGCGGGGTGTGCCTAGCGCTGTACTGCTGTTTCACAGAGACCGTCTCTGTGGTACCACTGAACAGGTTGTGGCACGTGGGGAACTAACGTGAAAGAACAGTTAAAAATATACAACTCTTATTTTTAAGGGCATTATATTAGAACTTCATAAATGTTAAACTCACAAGACTCGGACGTAGTGCCCTAGCAGAAGCTAGGGGGAACTTTGTGCTGTATCGCTGTCAGCTGCTGTCGTCAGGGTAAAGGGTCCATGTGTGTTACCTCCTGCGAAGAGTCCGTCCCGGTTCTGTGGAAATCCTGGCTTTCAGAGGTTTCCACTCTGGTGTGGTTTTGGAAGAGTGAAGGGGCAATCTGTGCACCTCTGGGGAATGGCTTACCGACTTCGTATCCATGCTTTTTTTCTTCTCTTAATTTCAGAAACGAGTGCCAGTGCAATGCAGTCAAAAAGAAGAAAATCCAAGTAAATTACTGCATGGAAACATGAAACATGTAAATGAGTGTGAATTTCCCAATAGCAATTTTGAGCTGTGATTTTTCTTTTTTAAATAGAATTCTGTACAGTAAGTCATTTTAATATTATACTGTTCCCCATAAATGATTTTTTTTCTAAAAAACAGATAAATAGATATAAAAACTGGGTTGTTCTAAAACCCCCTGGATTTATGAAGTGAAGTCCAGGGTTAGCACATGAGGTTAATGTGTTTGTATGAAATGGAAGGGGAGGGGGAGACAATTGTAAATTTATTTGTTTCCACTTTTCATAAACAAATTAGAATACAGGGTTGTCATTTTTAGGTATGAAAATAATGTATTGTGCTGTTGTTTAAGTACTGTATGTGAATAGCAGTAAGAGGGTTTATAAACAAACCCAACCTTGTTTGGAAATGTAAATAATTTTATTATATAGTAGATCTGATGTATTTGTTGTAGAAATGGACCAGTGAAACAAAAAAATAAATTTAAGGATTTGTATAATGTGGAATCCCTCGTGGTCTAAATAAATGTTATTGTCCTATAATTTGGGTTGTATTATTCTTAGCAGCAGCAAGAGCATCATTCCAAACAGGAAGATTTGAAGGGATTATTTAGAGCTCTAGGCCTACAAGCTCCTTAGATGGAGCTTTAGAAAGGAATTTGTTTAACCACAAACGAATTAATTGATGCAGCTGATCTTGGAAAGCAAGAAAAAACCACAAAGGCCACCCTCCCGCCCTGGGGCTGTGTGCAAGGATACGTAGTGGGGGGAGCCCGAAGACGGCGCTCCCCACAAAGCAAGCTGCTCAGCGGGGACCGGAGTGCCACCGGTGGCGGCTGCTCTGTGCGCACCCCCGCGGAAAGTAGTCAGCCCCTGCCTGCCGGGAACTCTCACGTGAGAAACGGGAGCCCGTCTCTTCAGGTTGCTTGGTGCTTTGTCTGCAGAGAGGTACTTTGACTTTTCTCCTTCTCCCATGGAAGCTTCGATACATTTATGCGTATCAAGACTGAGTAAATCTAAGTTGTTGTTAAATATGTATTGTCATCTTATATAATGATGGCAGTGTGTGCTGGCAGCCCA